TATCTATGGTTTATCTCATCCTAACAATGTATAATATTAGCCCGTCATATTGAAATTATAAGAAATCATATTTAAGTGAAAAGACATAACCCGGAACTATGTATTCTACTGTTAAGTATTTGTAGGATTCGAAAATTGGTTAAAAATCACGTCCAAATTGACTTCCAGAAGATATTTTCTCTCCCGATATCTAATTAATGCAATTCAAAGTGCGTTAAAAAGATAACTCAAAGGGCTACAAGTTCTATAGAAATATAGTTTTTCCAATTCAGACATTTACTATATCACAAATGGGTCTCAATCTTCGACTAAAAATCTGAAATATAACTTGTGCGATTGGAAATTGATTTAATCATATTCGATTCCTTTTTGAATTTAATTACATCCAATTGTGTCCTAAAAATCTTCAAAATATCATCTTATTGTCCGAATCAACTATTGAATTTGCAATTTGATCATCAAACTTTGGATTTTGCCATTTTTTTACCAATTTTCGCTTCTTTTTTTCCATTCTTTGTTCAACCATTGAGTTTTATACATATGACATAAAATACAAAAAATTATGATATATTTTGTCAAAAAAACTATCAAATATCGCTATTTTAGACCCCGAATAAGTGTATAAAATACACTTATCAGAAACCAAGAAAAAAAAATCTAGTGGTTGTTGACTTGAACCATATATCACGATATTGGGACGCCTATTTAGTTTTATACAAATGTTTGCAAACTCGTTCATTACATTATTGTGTTTTATTTCAGTATTTGCGGACAAATTTGGTTTCCATGGATATGGTAATGTCTCATGCTGTTTTGATGTTTAATTTATGTTTGCCTAATCCATATTTGCCGCTTACTTTTGGGTTAGTTCTTATTTTAGTAAGTTTTCATGTGTTAATAACTTATAAGTACATGCTATTACTTGAAAATGCCAATTCACAACTACTAAGCTTTGAGATTTTGTGCGTTACATTCCATCTTTATGTTAATACACAAAACTGAACAACGTTATGTTTTAAGTTTAAGTGCCAACAACTAATAATGATATTCACATTGAAGATTAACTGTAGTCTTCTTACGTGGCATTTATGTGGCGATTTGTGATTTGATATATTAATGTGGTAGTTTTTTGTTGACTTGTGCATCAAATTACAAATCACCACATATATGCTACGT